CAACCAACCAACCAACCAACCAACCAACCAACCAACCAACCAACCAACCAACCAACCAACCAACCAACCAACCAACCTGGCTAGCTAGCTAGCTAGCTAGCTAGCTAGCTGCTAATGTCACAAAAATGAGCACACAGGGCAGCACATGGATAATTAAGAACACCAAAATAGAACATAAATTTATAATAATGATAGTCAATAAAGATAACATATGCGGAAGTCTAAAATATTCCATTTTCAATCTATGTCCAAATCCCAATCAGAACAAACTAGTCCACTAGCAGGGCTATGTCAGCTTCTCAACCCAAGTGTGAGGGAACATCCAAGTCTTCAAAATCTTGTGAAGGCCAGAAAGATCAAGGAAAGCATGATTTCTGGGGAGATGCTGTCCATATGGCAAGTTCTAAAATAGAGAAGGCATGACTCCTAGGTCTCACAAGATGACATTTTTTTGATGGATGGCGCCTGGAGCATCTCAGCCATGTCAGTTGTGGTAAAGCATGAACAAATGGAGCCCTCTGGATCACATTAAAATTCATGATCAGACCATAGTTGGTGGAGAAGATTCTGCTACAGAATCTCAGTCTTTACGGGGCAGAAAACAATATTCCTTATTATTCGCCAAAAAGGATGTTTATAAAAGGATTTCATCTAAAGATGAAAACTTAGAGGGAGATGTTTAATTGGGCCTTCTTGCATTTTCTGAGTGGTCCATAGTTGCAAAAAGTGAGAAAGACTGCCTAGAGCTAGCCAGGATGCCTAGGGCAAATGAACATTGTATTGAAAGATTGGTACATTAATAGACTAGGAGACTTTCAGGGAAGCTTGCTACAGCCATGAACATTTCCAAAGAAATCAAGGATTCCCTGGAGCATGACTTAGAAAAAAAAATCACTGATCTAAATGAAAATCAACTCATTTTTCAAAGGTTAATGTATTTTTAAAATAGGGCTCTGAGAAGGTTAGTTTATAATTCAAAGACTAAGATATATATGGACATTTAATTTTCACAGTTGTATCTGATTGCCTCTTGCGCCTTGTCCTAAGCTGAACATCTGAGGGAAAAAAACCTTCTTGGTGTTCTTACTTTGTTCTAAGTAATTCAGGAGTAATACTGTACATGGGGCAATCCAAAACATTGAAAATAGGAAAAGATTATCTGCAATTAGTATTGCTTCTTAGCTTCTATCTAGTTATTGATTAGACTACTGTTTCTCAACCTTGGCAATTTTAAGAAGGATGGACTTCAATTCCCAGAATTCCTCTGCCAGCATGTCTGTCTGGGGAATTCTGAGAATTGAAGTCCACCCATCTTAAATTTGCCAAGGTTGAGAAACACTGGATTAAACCAAAGGAGGGAATACATGATACCTGCATGTTGGCCTTTCTACACTGAGATGTTACATTCTGGAAGAATGTCATAAAAAGATGATACTGTGACTAACCTTGTAATACAGAGAACGACAACACAGATGATTGCAATCTGGATTGTTCCAATCACTGCTGCTATTAAGACATACTGAAATCGAACTGGGCCTGGAACCACATACAAAACGCTGTAGTCTTTCTTTTCACAGTGTTGTCCAGTGTAGCCCGCATCACACCTACAATGAGAAAGCAGAGATTCCTTCATTCCTTTGTCTGCAGAGATTAATTCAACTTCAAACGGAAGAGAAGGCGAAAGAGAGAAGTTTGATAACCGAATCAAGAGACAGTTGTTGGGCATGCTGGGTGTAATAGCTTTCTGAGGCCTTTCTAATAACTTATAAGTATCCCCAGAATCACCTTGTAGGGAAGATGGATGACATGAAAAATTAATAAATAAACAATAAATAAGTAAATATCCAGTTATATCTTTCAACAGAAGAAATTGATTTTTGTAGTTAGAGGTACCTGCCTATCTCAATATAGGCTAACTTAAACATTAAAAGAAATGTCTTCTTGAAGAGATTAGTTGGTTTTAGGTCACCCTTCCCCATGCTGGCTTTCATATGTGCTGGGTTTCAATTCTTAGTTAAAGGCCACAATGGTTAAGAATTTTAGAAGTCTACCACATCAGAAAAGTCTGTATTTGAAGGAAGTTGGTCAGTAAATTGTTATTACTTGTTATTAAATTACTTTATTTATTGCAGGGATTCATACTTCTATTTAAATCAAATAATCCAGGACAAAGTTGATACTGCATTGGCAGCTTAAAGGAAAGGAGAATATTGACCCAACCACAGTGTTAATCTGTTCTGGATGAAGCCATCTAGCCAGGGGTAAAATAAGGCCTGCTGTTCAACACATCATTATGACTTCTAGCTCTTTCTAATTTACACATTCTGGAATGCATGGTCATACCCAAAAACTATCTCCACTGGAACCAGGCATATCCCAGAGACCTTGGAAGGACCTGGAAAGCTGTCTTAAACCTTTGAATAGCTTGTTCCATAGCTGTGAGTAGTAGCATCAATGGGACTCTGTGATTTACAAAGAGTCAACAGTTTGGCCATTCCCTCTAGCATTAGCATAGACTGAATATGACCATAGAAGAGTCCTGGGCTTAAATGTGGATCTACTTCTATTATACATAGGAAGAGATCCTTGTGAGACCAGAACAGATTTCTTCCTTCCCCGCAATGTACTATACTTAACCATAATCTCTCCACATCCCTTTTCTCTTAGCTGAGCTCTGATGCTGGTTCAAAGTGAAAATAATCGACCTGAGGAGTTTCACCCTGAGCCATACACATCTTTTGCTTATAAATCTGGACTCCTGCTCAGCCTTCAACATACTGCATGCATTGAATTGGTTGCGTGTGATTAACAGAAGGTGTTTATATGCCATTGATTAGCTCATTATCATTGCTTCCTTTGTTGAGTTTGCTGTGTTTGCTGTGGATGTTTTATTCATAATTGACTGCGAAAATTTTAAATGTTAAGTCTAAGTTATGTTAATTCTTGGGAATTATATTTGAATTACAGCATTCTATAAATGGAAAGAAAATAAATGAATGAATAAATAAATATCTGAGGCAAATCTGTTTTTACACAAAGTAGAACTAATACCATCATAGTACATCCATTTTGGCTCTTGATCTAGCTTTCTAACATTTTAAAAAGAGGACGATGCTTCATTGCTTCATATGCTGGATGAGAGTGAAAAAGCCAACTTGGAATTCTGTTGAATCAGTAATAGAATCAGAGTCCTCAACGTAAAGGTTTCTGTTCTACAACTGGCCTACAAGAAGCCTTGGAGAAGCCAACAAGCCAGGCATGGAAGCAGTTACATTAATTTATTTGGAACCCACAGCAGCTTTCAGATGGGAAATGCTGGGGAGACCTGGGGTGGCATGCCAGAAGAAGGAACTAATACACAACTGATATCTTTCTGAATACTCCAGTGAAGCAAAGAAGCAGCAGAGAGTAGCTGCTACCCATGGTATCCACATCCATCAGAGAGGCATCACAGACAGCAATAGCAGTTACTTCCTATCTATAGCAACCTTTCAATATTTCTATGTCTATGATGTCTAACAGGAACATTTCCTGAAAAGATGTCCAAGCAGGATCTCCTTTGTTGGAGTTGTCTGAAGGACTGTTCACATGCTGCCTGTTTTCTAGTTAATCTAGTTTTCCTTGGATATTCCTTGCCCAAAAGGCACTTCCTATATTTCTCATCGATTCCCCCCCCCCAATACCTTGGAGTTCCTCTGAGGGGCTCCAAAGTCCTATGTCTGGCAGCTTAGGGGGCTGGAAATCCAACAATCCACCTTCCTGCTTGCCTTCAAACTTTGCTATTAAGTAAGAGAAGACAAGACTGACTTAAACTCCATTACATGCAATGCAATGCGCCTTTCTGAAACTAACCTTATTTCAACCCTCATCAGTGCAAATCTTCTGTCTTCAGCCATTTTCCCACCTGGAGAAATTGATGTTGACATAGTTCTTGACTTTTGCTCACTGTGGGATTTCCTGGGACAAAAGCTGTTGGCCATGTGCTAAAAATCAACAACAAATACCCACTGGGCCAGCCTATGCTCCGTTATGCCTTTTTAGTTTAGGAATGTATTGACAGACATTTCAGGAATGCTTTTATAAACAGATTAATGCTGCTGCATAATTCAGTGCAACCTGGCTACGCACATTAGGTATCTCTGTACATAATTTAGATCTAGAGTAGAGGAGGGTTAAGCAACTATTGTCTTTTTTTCCCCTACGTTGAAGACATATTTTTATCAGGTGTTCTCCTTCAGGTGATCCGTTTGAAGAAAAGCTTACCTGCAAGATGGCTCCAGCATATTAGCAGAATGCTCACATTTCCCATGCATGCAGAAACCATTATAATGTTCTGGACACGGAATGTAGATTCCCCTGGCACTTTCTTCCAGTTTGTTTGCATTTTCTGTGAACAAGAAGATCTGTATGTAAATGCATTACTAAGGGAGGAGCAGGGGGGGGGGAGGAGGAGGAGGAGGAGGAGGAGGAGGAGGAAAAGGTGGAGGAAGAAGAAGAGGCAGGGCAGGAGGAGAAGGAAGAAGAGGAGGAAGAGGAAGAAATAACAACAGCAATACTACACACTTGCACTTAATGCAAAGTAGTCTTTAAACGGGGAAGCTATGATTTATAAATGAAAAAAATAGGCACAATAAGAAGCTTATTTGCAATTCTTTGCAATGTTGAAATTCTCATATTATTACATATGGTACAGAAATGGCCGATTCCGCTGCCTCCCCACTGATTGCTTAGGACAGTGTTTCTCAACCTTGGCGACTTTAAGTCCTGTGGACTTCAACTCCCAGAATTCCCCAGCCAGCAGAGCTGGAGATTCTGGAAGTTTAAGTCCATAGGACTTAAAGTCACCAAGGTTGAGAAACACTGGCTTAGGGACACCTCCTGCATCCAAAACTCAGTGATTTATTCGCATTGCAAAGCAGCAATAGCAAAAATTATAACAATTAAAATAACCTCAATC